CCTCTACAGTTGTAGGTTTCTACAACAGGCAGTTGCTGTCCATTTGAAACTTAGATTCAAAGTATTCAAATTTAACTCGTGAGATCAATCACCTTATCCTCGTTTTTATTGGTTCCGTTTGTTTAAAATTTCGTGCAAAGCTATACGAGGGCTATCTCCGTTAGCCGTCCCTAATTTAGCAGTGATAGAGTAAAGAGAAGGAAGTTAGTCAATACCACCCACCGCCAAATCTTGGAATATCCTTTTACCAACGAATAGTGGAATTGACCGTAATTTTATAACACCTCCACAGCTGAAAGGGCGAGCATGTTCGGTGTGATGGGGATTCGAACCCGTGACCCGAAGGTTGCGAGTCGAGCGCCCTAACCACTTGACCTGTTTTGGAAAATATTTGTATAAGTTTGTTCTTTAAATTTTAATTACACAAAAAACTCGAATATTTTATCATCATCAAAAAAATTCATCAAACATCACTATTTTCATGTCTAGCTTTTCTTAACTTTTGGATTCAAATGTTTTATAATAATCCGTGTTTTAACAGTCGACATTGTTATCTAAATTTAATTTATACTCGCGATACATATTTTTTTCTAGTAGCGTCATTTTATAAACGTTCTAGAGCAGTAACGTAGGCTGGTGTCACGGGAGACTACCCCCCCCCCCCCTCCAATTCAGCTGGAAGCCCAACGCTGGTTAGAAATGTCTCATAGAAACTGCCATTTGGCCTCCCTCCCCGAGCTTAAGGACAGCGGCCGTTCCTGTCGCCCTCACCCCCAAATTACACCCTTGATTCCTTCTGCAACTAGACATAAGATCACTCGAAAATCCTAATTTATTATATGCACAAAACTATATATTTACGGGTCGGTTAGTTGGTTGTTGTTAAAGCACAAAGCTACATAATGGGCTATCTATGTTCTGCCCACCATGGGGTATCGAAACCAGATTTTTAGATCATTTTACAGAGGATTTTTTCATATAAGACAGGTATAAAACGAAATCCAATAAAAACTATATAAGTGTATATTGTTCAGTGAAAAGACGTTTTCTTTATTCGTTTTGTTTTTTCAGGCCAAAAAATTCTGTGACGTGCGACGGTCCGACAGAAAAAATTAGTGTTTGTGACGACAGTGCTGTAAGTACAAAAATTATGTTTTATTAATAATATCGTGCATCATTCGAGGTATTTTTATTAAAGTGTTACTTTTTGGTTTTGGAAATACCATTACCCATGTGAAATGCAATATCAAATCGCTTTCCCTCAGAACATCACCTTACATTTTTAGATCACCCTAAGTAAGTGACGATAGGTGGCCCGTGGTCACATGATTCATGTGAAGCCAGCTGGCCTAATGGTTACATGACTGGTGTCCTACTTTACTTTACAGTGTTAGATAACCTGATTACCGTGAAGCCAGTTGGTTTAATGGTCACGTGGTCGGTGTCTTACTTCACTTTACAGTGTTAGATAACCTGATTAGCGTTAATCTAGGTAGTTTAGTGGTCACGTGGTCGGTGTCCTACTTCACTTGTTAGATAACCTGATTAGCGTTAAACTAGGTGGTTTAGTGGTCACGTGATTGGTGTCTTACTTCTATTTAGAAGAAAGGCGCGATGCTTGACAGGCTTAGGGAGGAAGAGGTCTATGCTGAACCTGATCCTCCTTGGTCCAAGACATGGACCAAATCCCGATGAAGATGATGGTCTAGTGGAATACGATTTCTGGTTTACTAACTATTGCTATGCTCATGCAGTGACTGCATGATATAAGAACGGATTTCCTTAGCTACCGGACCGTATTTTACTGAAGAATTAATGTGGGCTTCATCCAACACTCAAAAACCAAATAAATGGTCAGGGAGAGGCCCAAGTGTATTTTATCCTCCCAGATCACATGACCAAACAACGACCAAATAAAGGCGTACCTAATCCTCACAGATCACATGACCAAACAACGACCAAATAAAGGTGTACTTGATCCTCCCAGGACACATGACCAAAAAACGACCAAATGAAACCTATCTGAGTTACTCTGTATAACAATATTAAGGCATGTTACATGTTTGAGTGTTGAACTGACTATTTAATTTTAGGGTATAGATAATTATGTTCTTCATTTTTGGAATGTTACAACACTCACTGGAATTTAAAAAAAGGTGTTTTTACTAATGTGACCACTCTATACCTGAGGATATTATACTACCTGCTTTAATTTAGTTAGTATTTCTTATGTTAGGTCTGTATCCTAGCACAAGAAAAATCGCTACTAGGGTGTCAGATAATGCTTTGATTGACACAAAGAACTAAAATTGCATTACTATCGTAACAATGACTATATTGGACGAGGATACCTTACAATCTTAGATGCAATCCACAAAGACTTTATTGAAAGGACTCCAAGAAATTCATAATTACAATGCTAGCAGTAATCTTCGTCAATCCAAACTAATATCCGGGGTGGCTCGTGATTATCCTGGAATTTTTGGCTTAGGATAAAAGATGAGGTATGCATATCTGAAGGATAAATATTTAAGATAAAATATGATGAATATATAACTGAAGGATACTTACTCCAGATAAAGGATACATATTTAAGATGGTGGATACATACTCAGAAAGGAAGGATAGATATTGAAGATAAAGGATATGTACTCAAGATGAAGGATACATACAGGTAGTGGACAAAAAGAGGAAACACTTGGGTAAATGAGGGACAACAAATATGTGCAATGCAGAGGCTACCACACAAATGTGGTTAGTTAATTAATTAATAAGTAGCATACCAGGAGGCACAGTGTTGTGTATAAAAATGTTGGACAGGCCTGGTTGCCTATAATCATGGCTAGCATGGCCTCAAGAGGAGACCTCAGTGTCTTTGAAAGAGGGGCGATTGTTGGGACGTGTTTGGCAGGAGCTTCAGTGACCAAGACAGCTCAATTTGCTAATGTTTCACGAGCAACGGTATTTAAGGTGATGTCAGCATGGAACTCTGATGGAAAAACATCATCCACAAAAGGCAACATTGGGCAGAAGTGCATACTCCAGGAACGTGATGTCTGTGCAGTAATTCCAACTGAAAATCAAAACAGACGAGCAACCCACGTCAACTGACCACAAATTTAAACCTTAGCATAGAGTCTACCAGCGTCTGGAATTCAGCAGAAGGAATGCGACACCACTCTTCCACGAGAAAGTCAATAAACTCACGCCTAGTTGATGGTTGTGGAAAATGCTGTCTCAAGCATCATCCCAGAATATCTCATTCATGCTCGATTGGGTTCAGATCTGGTAACTGAGAAGGCCATGACATATGGATGACGTCACTGTCATGCTCCTCAAACCACTGGATGATTACTCGTGCTCTGTAGATGGGGCATTGTCACCTTGAATGACACCCCTCTCGGCAGGACAGAAATGCTAGACCAAGGGGTGAAGATAATCACTCAGTACCATTAAGCAATGATTGGCATCGACCTTCCCTTGTAAGGGTATGAGTGTGCCCAAACCATGCCAGGAAAATTGCTCCACACCATTACGGAACCATCAGAACCTTCACTGTTGGTACCAAGTACTCAGGGCTGTGGAGTTTTATAGGTTGGCGCCACACATGCACTTGTTCATTTGTTGAGAACATGGTGAAGGATGATTCATCTGACCATGTCACATTTCTCCACTGCTCAGTAGTCCTGTGCTCTTTGCACCACTGGACCCATATCCGTGCATTGCAAGGTGTGACAAGCAGTTTGTGCACTGCAACCCGACTATGATATCCCGTTCTATGGAGTTTCTGACGGACCGTTTTTGATTAAACTGGATGCTCTCGCCACAGATTGAAATTTGCAGTTAATTGATTTGGGTTTCTCGCCTGTTTTGTTTTGTAGTTCGAATTAATGTACGGACATCACGATCCTGGAGTATGTACTTCTGCCCACCGTTGCCCTTTGCTGATGATGTCTTTCCCTCAGAGTTCCATGCTGACATCACCTTAAACATTGTTGCTCGTGCAGCATCAGCATGTTGAGCTGTCTTGGTCACTGAAACTCCCGCCAAACGGGCTCCAACAATCATCCCTCTTTCAAAGTCATTGAGGTATCCTCTTGCAGCCAGGCTAGCCATGGTTATAGGCAACCAGGCCTGTCCAGCATTTTTGTACATGAGCCTATGCATCCTGGGATGCTATTTACTTAATTAATGAACTAGTCACACCCGTGTGGTAGCCTGGACATTGCATATACATGTAGTCCATCATTTACCCAGGTGTTTCAATTTTTTTTGTCCACTACCTGTATGTTGGCGTTAACTAAATCCCAGGGTAATAGAACTCAAAGCATAAGTTCATATCCCTGTACAGCTTATGGTTTAATTTGGCATGTTTCTGTGATAATTAATACCTGTGTCTCGTATAATTTCATATCAAGTTTACCACCAATGCTCGACTGTCACAGCTCATCATTTTATCATATAATTCATACTCTGTGTTAGTTTTATAGGTCCGGTTAAATAACATATTCAAAACAAGTCAAACATATGTATAAAAATCCTTTACACTATAGGATAGCACAGTTGTATCTAAAACTGTAAATAATTTATTTTTCTTGTCAAAAGTCCACACAAGCTGGTTCAGTTACTTTAGAACCAAATTGACAAGACAAATTATTTTTCTCTACTCTGTTTCTTACTAGACAATCTGCGATCAATTCACTTACGTTACCCCGTGGGTTACCACAGTTGTATCTAGAACTTTAAATAATTGTCTTCTTTTTTTCAAAGTTTACACAGATGGGTTCAATTACTTTAGAACACCCTTTGACAAGACAAATTATTTCTCTCCTTATATCTGTTAAACTGTGAAATTCACTTTAAATATCGCCCGATATGGCTAAACAAGCAATCATGCAGTCTAACTTCACTTTTACTAACTACATGAACTTCTTTTAACTTAACTTCCTTGCACTCAGTTGGTTGCCTATATATATATATATATAAATTGCCCAACTGAGGTCAATAATTTTCTACAAACTACGAGACACTATGATGTAACAGTACTCTCTTAAGGCAACGAGAAAAATACCGATGATTCGAGTAACGTGACGTCAATTTACAACAGTTGAATTACACAGACAACTTACAACTCTTACCGAGTTACGTAACTAAATTTGTCATAACTATTGCTTTTAAAATGGCCCGGCATGGCCAGGTGGTCAGGGCGCTCGACTCGCAATCTGCGGGTCGCGGGTTCGAATCCTCGTCAC